CCAAGTCCTGCACCGGAGGAGGAACAGCCCCGTGCACTGATATGTGCTGGGAGCTGCCTAGCTGGAAAACAGCTTGGCCAAGAAGAACTTGGGGGTCCTGATGGACTCCATGTTGAACATGAGCCAGCAATGTGCCTTTGCAGCAAAGGTGGTGAACGGTATCCTGGGCTGCATCAGGAGGAGTGTTGCCAGCTGGTTGAGAGAGGTGATCCTTCCCCTCTACTCAACACTGGTGAGGCCACACCTGGAGTGCAACATCCAGTTCTGGGGTCCCCAACACAAGAGAGACATGGATGTATTGGAGAAAGTTGAATGTAGGGCCACAAAGGTAATGAAGGGACTGGAGCATCTCCCCTATGAGCAAAGGCTGAGACAGCTGGGACTATTCAGCCTGGAGAAGAGAAGGTTCAGGGGGATCTCATCAACATGTAAAAATACCTGGAGGGAGGGTGCAAAGCGGATGGAGACAGGCTCCTCTCAGTGGTGCCCAGTGACAGGACCACAGGCAATGGGCACAAACTGAAACACAGGAGGTTTGCCCTGAACATCAGGAAACGCTTTTTCCCTGTGAGGGTGACCAAGCCCTGCCACAGGTTGCCCAGGGAGGTTGTGGAGTCTTATCCTTGGAAAAGTTCGGAAGCTACCTGGACATGATCCTGGGCATCTGGTTCTAGGTGTCCCTGCTTGAGCAGTGGGTTTGGACCAGGTGACCTCTAGAGGTGTCGATGAAGTGAAGTTTTCTACTTTTGTATGAATTTTGGTTTTGCTAACATTTGAATTAGGGGTTGTGAAACTATGTGAAAAACTTTGGGTTGTGAAACTCTGCATAGCTTGTTTGTTGATGAAAGAGGAATGTAGAGAAACTGCAGGAACCCAGAAGCAGCAGGAGCTCCCTCAAAGCTATACATACCAGATAGACATCAAGGAGACAAAGCTCCAGATATCAAGGAGACATTAAGGAGACATCAAGGAGACAAAGCTAGCTACACCTGCCAGATGTTAAGGAGAGCCTAGCAAACGTCTACATGACTGATTGTTAAGGTTGCAGAACACACAAGAGGTTGCATCAGAAAAGGGGCCTTGGCTTGTGCTCAAGCAGGAGGCTTCAACTAGAGGACATCGTGAGGAAGACTACAGACAACCCCTAGAGACCCTCAAAAGACCACCGACCCATTTAGTTCTGCTTGATAGAGCATGCTCAAAGGGGAAGGAACCTACGTAAAACATTTCTGGGAAATCACTAGAACACCACCACCTTTTTGGGGAAAGATGCTGAGTGTATAATGAGAAAGATCTATAAAGGCTGTAACCAAGCGACCAAAAAGCGCGCTCACCTTCGCGAAAAGATTCGCGTGTGCGCCCAGCGCTGCAATAAAGAATGCCTCACTTTCCGATACCTACAAATTGGTCTTAGAGGGTTACTGATCCGGTATTTTGGTAACAGTGCCTTCACAGCCCTTCTGTGAATTTTGTCCTGTTACAGGGTAGCTGGCTGCCAGGGCTGTCGGAAGGCCATCACGGTGACACCACATGGTGTCACAATGGCTGCTGAGAAGCTGCTTCTTGGGACCAAGGGAGGGAGAGATGACAGAGAGGAAATCCCCACGAGGTGGCTCTGCCGCTCGTTGGGCACTGCTCAAAACCTACTAATCAATAGCTTTCTGGAAAATCAGGGGGCTTTGCCAAAAAGGTCTCAGAAGGGGCTGTCCTGGGCCCCACTCAATTCTCTGCTCTCCCAATAGCACAGAAAATACCAAATCTGCAGATGTGCCTAAGTGGGAGGTGTGTTTCCAGCATCCCAGTGGAGGGGCTTGGATTCCAACTGGTCTCACTGTGTTGCAGCAATGCTCCAGGCTCAACCTGCTGAAATTAATAAAAATAAACCCAAACAACTGCTCCGAGGAAGGCGAGCCCTGGTGCACAAACTCCTTTCCATGGGGCTCAGTGGCGAGGCAGGAGCCCTGCAGAAGTGGAGCCGGGGGTGAACGCAGCCACAGGGATGTCAGCAGTGCAGCGCTTGTATGAAAAGGTGAATTTACTCGGGAGTGCAGTGGGTGAGACAGAGTGAGGAGGAAGCTGTGCCAGGGGACCCGGAGGAACTGCAGGCTCTGTCTTCACGTGCTGTGTTTTGAGCTGAATTTGGACAAATGGAATATGGAGACAGGAATGAAAAGGAAGAAGAATGGGAAATGTGGAGAAGGAGGGTTTTTCGAGGTGGTGCTCTGACTGCTTCCGTGGTGTCACTCTCTTGGCTGCTCAAAATGAAGACAGTGTTTAAAAAACTGCAGTGCTGCCCTTTTCTTTGTGTTGCATTTCACGTTTCCACCTCTGTTCATGCTCTCCTTTGGGGTTTTGTCAGGCTTCAGAAAGGATGTGATGCTGAAGCAGGCTGACATAAGAGCAGGTTGTCACACACACGTATGTATGCACACTATATATTGGGTGGTTCTGTGGCGCTTTAAGTTTGCAAAGCACAGTGCTAATATAAACCAACCAGTCCAAGGGGCTTGTGTCCTGCTGCACTTATGATAGAGCATGACGGCTGTATGTCGCCTGAAGTTTGCATAAAGGAACTTCACAGAAACAGCTTTTATTTTATTAGGAGACACACTTTCATTGGAGTCCTTGCAGCCGAGTGCTCTGAGCAGAGTGCATGAGGGAGAGGAGAGATGTACATCCCCAAAGATATTTATAGATGTGTTCCCAGTGCTTTCCTCTTCAGTATGAAAGCAATTCTATGAAAGGATTATCTTGACTGGCTGTTCAAGACTTCCAGAGGAGGAGATTAATGTGCGGGAAGCCTCACAGCACAACTGGAAAAGCTCGCTGGCTTTGCACATTTCTGTGAGCTGCATGGCTCACTGTGTCAAGGTTATCTTCCTCAGAGAGGAAGATGTGGATGTCAAATAGCAATGCAGCAAGCAGAACGGCTGGGGTCTGACAGCAGCTGCTGAAGTGTAGAATTACCTGTGCCTGGAGAGCGCCAGCCACAACTGGGGGTAACAGCAGGTGCAGGCAATGTTCCCCAAGACGTGCATCCCTCTCACCCCTTTTTTTTGCCTACTTGAGAAAACCCCCTATCTCAAATGGCCAAGTGGTGTATGACGGAGATGTCTTGCATCATCCTTTCTCCCAGGTGGACGAGGTTTTCCAGTGGGACCAACTTTGCCTGACACAGACAGTGATCCTACGTGTATCCCACAAAAGAAGGGGAGGCAAGAGCCTCCCAGATGTTTAGGTCTCAGGGAGAGCGAATAATTTAATGTACAGCTCCGTCCTGCCTGCCCGTACCCAGGCACAAGTCCTTTCTTCATAGTCACAACACTGATCTCTGCTTGGACGGTATTCCTCTTTTCACTTAATTCCGTAACTGCTTTTAGGTGATGGGTTTTCCTCTTCAGCAGATTAGCAGAAGCTTAGCATTAAATACCATCCTTAAATACCAGCTATGATCCTGTGCTCAGTAGACCACAAAACATAAACTTTGGTGCTGAAGCAAGAAAAGGCCATATTGTGGGGGAAAATACAATTTCAGCTTAATAAAAGCATTTGGCATAATAAAAGGCCAAATCTCAACCTAAATACTATTTATGGCCTTGCTGCTCACACAGTTGTTTCTGTGTGGACTACAGGCATAGTATCCTAGAAAGACAGCCAGTTTCTATTAAGTTAACAGAAGGTCACAACTTGCAATGTTGATCTACCTCTCAGCCAGCGTGTTCCTCTACATTTGCTTGTACCCAAAGCACCTGAGAGTTTTCCATATCTAACAGCACAGACGATAATAATTTGCATGACAGGGAGACTGGATAAAACCACCGTTGTCGGTAAATGTGTCCTCATTAAACAGGATGGATTTCACAGCTTGGCACCTGCTGGGAAGTCCTAGCAGGCTGTGTCCCATCCAGACAGAGGTAACCAGTTATCTGGCTGGGGTTTGGATCCTGGGCAGCACTCAGACCTTCTGGATAGCATATGGTGGAGTACAGACAGACGGATGGGGCAAAAGTTGTCCAGGGCTCAGGCCAGTGAAAATGTTACTTTTATTAGTGTTAAGTCTCTATTTTAGGTAAGGATTTTTCGTAAGGCTTTTCCCCATCAGAATAGCGGCAAAAGGGAGCAGAACAGTTACAGTCAGCAAGTGGTGTTCACTTTGGATGAGGAAGCTTTCCAGTGATCTGACAGAAGCTGTGGAACTTTCTGCAGCTGTCCGACACTACAGCCTATGCTTCCCTGCCATCTCCGTCATCGGGTTGAAGCCGAGGCATGAATGTTGTGCAGCAATTATGTTCAGCCATATTGAGCTTTGACTACTAAAATTGGGGTACAACTGTGAAGTCTGAGCCTTTAAAACCCTGAATTCCAGCAGCTGTCACCGTCTTCCAGGGAGTTATTTGCAGGGCAAAGGATGCAGGATCCACCCCTGGTGAAGAAAGACGTAATTCTGTGCCCACCCACGATGCTTCCAGCATTTGTGTACTGCCTGTTCAAATATGCCAGATGGATCAGGAGCTTTTGCTTGACCTGGAGACTTGGGATCTCCTCACTGGTGAGGCTGATGAGGATGTGACCAGGGAGGGCACATGCCTGAGAGCAGCAGTGTTATTGAGACTCACCAACATTACTTCTTCTCCCAGCTATTTGTGGGGTCGTCAGGCACTTGCAGGCAATAACATGATAGCCTGACTGGTCTCTCCCAGCCTTTCTGCTGTTCCACATAGCTAGCCAAATGCTCAGACATACTTTAGATATCAAGGTTGCTATTTTGCTCCTGTGCAAGAAGGGCAATAGATATCTTTCCACATCACATACCCTCTTAGATCATGGACACATAATCTCTTGTTTCTCTGGGCTTCATCTGTATATGATGATTGAGTGAGTGAGTGACCCTGCGGTTGTGTTGCTCTGACAGTCACCCAAGCACAGGGTGCTGCCACTCTCCTGTGAAGCCATAGGAAGTGTTTCATGATTCAAGATAAAACCTTCATTTCCTCCTTCTATGCTTACAGGGCTGAGCTGCCACCGAGGCTGCACCGTCCACCCTGACAGTCTGCTCACAAAATGGAACGGGAAACCCTGGGAAGCGTTGTCCTGCTCGCCATCGTCACCTTGATAAGTGTTGTCCAGAATGGTAAGACAAAAATTTAAGGACTAAAAGGGACCTGAGAAAAGGATGATACATGCTGATCTGATCTTTGGGTAGATAATCTCTGGTTATAAGTGTGTGTGTGCTTAGGCATGACTTTGGCTTTAGAAATGAGTTAAGCATGTAGCTTTGTGTGCTGTTGGGTCAGTATCTTGGCAGTCGCATGGTCCTACTCTCTGATATTCTAGAGTCAGTTTGTTATACGTATGTCAGGTAATGAAAGGACTAATATGCTGGGGTACCCTGTGACAATATGCATTTTGATTTGATGACTGAGACCACCTTTCCTGGCTAAGGTCCCTAACGTGGGCAGCCAGGGCTGCTCTCTGGCTGGAGCCCTGCCACAGTGGGCAGTGGCTGGGGCCCTCGGGGGCTGCGATGGGTCAGACCTTTACATGGATCTGGGTGAAGGAGTCAAAACTGCCCTGACTCATCAGAGGAGTCTGCTTAGGTTACTTGTGGGCAGGCAGCTCTCCTGCTTTCCTGCACCTCCAGGTCCTACAGTCCAACTAATCTCAATTAACTGCAGTCCCAAGAACACTGCGCATTTCCTGCGATGGGGAAGTCTCCTTTTTTAGCTCTTATTCAGATCTCTATAGTCCCTACAAGTCTTCAGGATTTTTTAAATAAAATAACAATTTTCTTTCTAGTGCAAATTTGATTTTAACTTCATCATCATCTCTTACAAATACTTGATAATTTTTGCAGGAAGTTCTTCCCAGAATACAGAGAAGGGAGTGAGTTTTGCCCCAGCTGCACTGAGATTGCCCAGGTTAAAGGAGAGTCAGCAGTGGGATGGGGGACGATGCAAATGCTAGAAATCTTCTGTGAAGACGAATGGGAGATTCACACTGAGCACAGACCCCATGTTCGGTCCCAGGAAATGGGCTATTTTTGGGCCACTGCAGAGAGGGGAAGTGGTGAGAGCCTCAGCATAAGACTGGCTACCAGAGAGAAAAAAAAAAAAAAAAAAAGAGAGATGTGGATTGGTTTAGTGTTGACATAGGCACGAAATGCCACATTGTTTAATCCAGTGCTGTTTTCTGGTAAATGCACAATGTGTGACGTCACCAGAATGCATCAAGTTGAGATCAGAGCATATACCACAATTTAAAAAATGTGTCAAATATACATTTCTTGCTATTTAACCAAATGACTTATATATAGGGTTTTTTCCTCTCACTCTGAAACTTGGGCGTTTAGCTTCCAGCCTGACACACACTTTCATCTCATGGAAATCTGTCTGTGAGATTATTCACCCCGCTCCTGCAAATGGGCAGCACAGCTCTTGGCAGAGGACTTAGCGTGCGAAGCACCAGTGGCACACAGCCATAAACCATGATTTTAGACCTTGCGTCATCTGATGTCCTCCTCCCAGGCTTTCTGTCTAGAAAGACCAGAATGATATGCAACAAATGCAATAATTAAGGCAGTAGAAATGCTTATCAAGAGATATCAGTTGTACTGAATTCTTGCTATGGCTTTGGTTTAGCAAAAATGCTTTGGCATCTGCTTGGCTGTCTTTTAAGTATGTGGAGTCAGCACCATGTAAATTCAGGTTTATATGCTTTTCTGCATCTGGTGCAGGATTAGAAAACAGTTTGGGTGAATGCTGTTATTCCTGAAGCTGGAGGTGGGCTGTGATGCTGTCCCAGTCTGATGTCCGTTTATTATTGCTGTGTTCGTGTAAGGAATCTCCATATCCTCCAGAATGACTCATGTGGCCGGATGCCGCTGAGTCACACATGTAGCTTTAGGTTTTGTTCTTGCATCAGAGAGATGTTGCAATTCAGCAGCTTGCAGGGTGACTCTGTGGTCACTGCTGAGTTGATTGGGATAGAGGAAGCAAAACCAATGGAAAGACAGGGCAGCCTGCACGTTTGCCAGCACTCACTAGGTTGGAGCATCGGTGCGTGAACTTGTGAAACAACCGGGCTTGGCTTGAACTATTCTTGTACATTAACTTGACCAGAGTGGAACCACAGTGTTTCAGGGCCAGGTCCTCCAGGATTCACCCAGTGCACTGTGCTGGTGGCAGTGGGAGGGTCTGCAGACTGGCTCAGAGTGGGGACGCTGGCTTAAAGCACTGCTGGTTTTTCTGGAAAAGGGCCATATGTACCCATAGAATCACTTGATAATGGAAGGCAAAAACTTAGTAGCTTTTAGTGAAGGCAATGGAAGTACAAAAGACCTACTTACAGCACCAGTGAGGGGAAAAAAGAGGCAACTCTTCAGATTCTAGGGATGAAATCCTGCAGCTTATCAAGTTATACTTCTATTGTTATAATAATATCTTTCCTGATGGGTTATCTTTTATGTATATGTCTGGATAATATTCTAAACCACAGAGTGATTTGGGTACACTGAGATGGGATGCAGGATACTACAAAGCTTGCAGCTTGCAGCCTGTCAGAGCTCTGTCTGGTGTGTTTAGACACATGATTGATGGTCTCTGGTTTAGTGTCATCAGATAAAACGTGTTTGTCAAGCGCATGATACATTATCTTGAGGTGCTGTATTTCTGCAGCAGCTAACACCCTGATGCAATGCTGTTGCTTAAAAGGAGATTATACACAATATGGACACATAGAGATCAGCCATTAGGACCAGGTTTTCAACGGGCTTTCCTGGAAAATGATCCAGCCCTGCAGGATGTCCCTGGTCTGGCAAATGAGTATCACTAAAAGAATGGAGACTCCCTTGTTTCCCTGCTCTGTTAGAGAGTAAGATTAGGGGTTGGCAACTCTGACTGGAAAGCTTTTTTCCCACTGGGGGCACAAAGGACCGAGCTGTGCTTCTGCAGCGGACAGAGGTGCGGGCTGCCAGAAGTGCAGTGCAGGAATGAAGCAGGGCTCAGAGGTGAAAGCCTGCTGCCAGTCACACTGTGCCCTTGCACAGGGGGTTTGGTTTTACCTCAGCGACAGAGTGATCACACCGGCCACATCCTGCGCCTCCATGCACCCGTATCCTCTCCTGCCATCCAGCCTGGATGATCGTGAGAACAGAGCTGAGCCTGCAAAGCCCACCTCCTGCAATATCTCCAAATTACATCTCATATTCAGTCTGAATATTTTGTGGTTTTTTAACAGCTTTTTTTGCTAGCAAAGTGGAGCATGAAAGCAAACACTGCAACGGCAAGGGGTTCCAGCGGCCGGGCCACTCCGCCTTCGACCGTGTCTACACTGCCAAGTGAGTAAGCAAGCCCTGAGGAGCTCGTGGGGGCCGAATGGTTTATGTCTCTCTCTTCATTAGGGTTTAATCCAAACCCTTTTACGGTCCACTCTTTGCTCCGTAGTCCCATTGCTGTTGCACCAGAGTGGCATTTAGACCCACGGTTCTCCAGTATGTTTGCTGGTGAACCCAGCTCCTTTCTGGACACTGGGCGCTGTATTTATACTGGGCTTGCAGTTCTTATGTGTGTTATGTCCCTTCATTTGGGAGCCCGTTCACCCAGTAGTAGCTAATGCTGGGTGTGTGGTACGAGCACAACTAGTGTGCTCTTAGCTTTCCAAAAGGAAAGAGCCAGTAGAGAGATGTCAGCTTGCTGAGGAGCAGGCCGGGGGCAGAGCTCGTGCAAACCCCTGCACCTCTGTCCCCAGGCAGCTCCCTCGGCACACGACTCTGCTTTTCTGCCACTTTGGTATCTCTTGTCTTTGACATCCTTTCGGAGACAGAGAGGGAAAATTAAGTCCAACCCAGAAGAGAAAAGAGCATAAAATATTTTTTAATACCTATGAAGTACTGCTTGAAACTGGATGGGACATCCAAGTGCTGTCCCTCACAGGGTTGCAACCTCTGCTAAGGGCAAAATGCTTTCCCCCTGGAAAGCATTCCCAGCCAAAGGAGGAAGCTGGAAATCATTCCTGTTCCCCTCCAAAGAGACATGTTAACTGTCAGACACTCCTGTTTGCTATGGGATTTTCTTTTTGTTGGTTTCCTGCAGCTTTCAATGCCACTAACTTGATTAATATGACTTAATTATGAGGATTTTCCAAGCCAATAAAGCACACAGCCTCTATTATACACGTGCCTTGATCAAACAGGTTAGAGGAGGAAAGCGGCTTTCACAAGTGCCAGGCATGTGCGTGGGGCGGTTTGTTCTCCTCATCAGGCAGGACAAAGGTATCCTTTATCCGAGTGAGGGCACAGGGAAGGAGACCTGCAGACAAGGCAGCTGCTGCGTTCGGGCACGGACAGTC